ACTACATCTGTGATCGCAGAAAATATCTGCAATTTCATTTGCTTAGTATCAAGTATCAACTACATATCAATCCACAAAGAAACACACTTCTCATGGACAGCAGAGACTCTGTTAGCCAAGCTATAGGATACAAAATTTCTCCTTTGGATAGACAGGAATGCTTCCTTTACAGGAGAGCCTCAACTGCAAAGAGCGCTTGCTCCTTTGGATGGATGGGTCTTGTAAGCATTACAGATGAGTACTCAAGATTTTTACTGCTTAAGAAGAAGTAATAATTTTCAAATATCATTTTTTCCCTTTTGAAACAAAACTACTTTTATCAAATTTCACAATGAAACATTGGTTAAACGCCCATATAGCAAGCCAATTCATGATTCGGCAAAGAAGGAATCAAAAATTAATAATGTCTATTTCACAAGCTAATATGACCATGACTTGACATTCACCCCAACAATCATTTCTGCTCAATTTGGAGATAACCAGAAATGGAGTTCAATGTATTGATTAAGGGAACAAAGTGAATATATTAATTACTATACCTGTCGGGAAGGGAGCAATCTAGCAGTCCATCCTTAAATCTCCTTGACTCCAACATCGAAGCGAGGACTAATGACACCACACTTGTTTAGCCTTCCATTCAGTTCGACAACAATCTTTCCGGACCTATGATCATCGACATACTCAAATTCTCCGATGTAACCTACAGATAGATACCAACAGTAAGAAAATGATAGGGTGATGCTAGCAGTGCATACAGTTAAGAAACTAAATTGATGAAGAGAGATTGAAGGCGAAAATTCTGATTTCTAATACATTAAACAACTTTTACGTACCATTGTTCGAGCAAGGGTAGAAGTCACCAGGCTGTCCTTTCTCTCAGCATTGGATTTGATTTGGAGTCTTGTCACGCTTCCCTTGTTCGTCAAAAGAGAGCAACAGAAAGATTAAACCAGCAGGCCACATGCATAACCCTTATGTGTTAACTCCAAGACCTATTTAACCAATTGATAATTGGGCTGGATCTCAAATAAAACTCTCCAATATTTTAATCAGCCCAATAATCTTAAATGAACCGGTTTCATACACCCCTTCCAACCCATAGGCCCTTATGTAGTTAGTTCTGTTCACAACATATACACCAGATATGTTTTACCCAAATCAAAATGTGAGTCTCTATAATACTTGTACAACTGACTATGAATTATTTAGCAGAATTTAAGCATGATGTACATGAGTTGATTTGTCCTTCAAAATGTATTCCATACTTATATATCAAAAAATGTGTCTCTATAATATTTGTACAACTGATAAGAGGTGTTCTTGTTTTGGATTAAATAAACCGACTTTATCTGGTTTTAGATTTTTAAAAATCGAAAGTATTTGAATTGGTTTTGGTTTGTTCAAAAAAATCAAAGAAATAATCAAACCAAACTAGGGGTGTCAAAAGCGATCGAACCTAAGGTTCAATTCTTGAGCTTGTTGGTTTGGAGGTAAGGAGACACATGATTTGTGTTTGTTCACCAGCCGGCCAGATGCTAAGAATATCCATCATCATTGTTAGGGCTGGAAAATAAAATTATCATATCATGAGCAAAGGGTAGGTGGTTGATACTAGGTCCTCTCTTATTCATGCTAAAGCCAATGAAGTCATTTTGAGAGTTCAAAGTATTGAGTTTGTTTGGAAAGAAATGATAAAAAGAGAAGGTGATATAGGGTCTCCTTGAAGAAGGCACATACATACATGTCTATTACCATTGGCAATTACTGGAAATGTGTCTGTAAATCAAGTCTTTGTCATCAGAATGCAAATATATGGCCATGGTACGCTTTGGTCATATCCAATTTGAGCACTACATTCCCTTCCTAGCTCATTCCTGGGATAATAGATCTTCCTTTGATGAAATCACTTTGATTTGTGCTTGGTAACTTTTGAGAATGCTCTGAGTCCCCATAGGGATCATAGCAATACAAGTATCATGAGTCAACCATTTAGGCAGAAAAAGGAATGTATGGCCTTCACAACCTCAGGTGCAATACAAGACTAATTTGCTGTGAAAAGGCAATCTTTGATCTCTTCTTCAGAAGGAATTGTTAGTATCCTCATGCATCAATCACAGTATCTATGCAGGATATATAGCTCATTCAAGTATCTAACAACAGTCTGTTGCCTTGTACCCAATAAGATTGATTTTCATCCATGATCTTGTTAATCCTTAATGTGAAAGTAGCTAGGCAGTATTAGAGTCTCCCTCATGTGAAAGTAGGCAGCTTTCTGTTTTAACAACACCTTATCTTGGTATCTCTATTATTACACCAAGTATGTATAGACAGCATCTTGGACTCCACAGTAATCTTCTATACAGTTGATTAAGTCGAAACTTTTGTCTATTCACCTTCATTCTCTCTCTCTTATGCATCAACGATTACATTAAAGTCGAGAGGTTTCCTCAAAGAAGTTGTGCACTTAGCATAGACACAAGTGATATGACTTCCTTTCTTTTAGGCAAGCATGAATCAGCAAGGGCCAGGTTTCCTGAAGCCGGCCATTTGGACAGGAACTGTAAATAGTTGTCAAATCCATAGCAATAGTATTACGTTTTCACTATTTTCATTCACAAAATCGATTTGGATTTCGTCAACTTGTGCTCTACTGATTTGGTCTTGTCTGTGATAATTGGTAGTCCAATGGGAGCCGCAATTCGACAAACAAGTGTCATTTCAAGTTAGAAGTGGTTTCAGCTTCTGGCTTAAAATTAGCCTTCCAAGTTAGAAGCTTCATTTGCATATTGCACAGATCGACAAAATTTCTACCATACATACACATTTCCATGGTCAAAATCAATAAAAACATGATATGGTAAATCATATGCTCCGATCTAGTATCCTGAACCACTATACGAGAAATGTGTATATGGTATTCTTACCTATAATGGTATTCTTCCTTTGATTTAGTATCCTGAACCACTATACGAGAAATGTGTATATGCCGATTGAGTGTATGTGATTCTATATCTTAAGTATGGTTGGACATAAGTTTCCATATACACGAAATACAAAATACATATTGTTGGGAGAACAATTCGTAATTTCAAATATAAGCATCAATATAAAACATTATTATAATTTACAAGGGAGTGACCATTGCACTTCTATGAGGCCTACTAGGCCGCCTATACCAAACAACAACGAATGACGTACAGAAAAATAAACCCAAAATTACAAAAGTCATTATTACATATAAATAATTCCTACTAGAACTTTTATCGTAGCTGGGGTGGGAAGAAGAGGTGGTGAAGAGGGTATGTAATTACCTTGGTATTCTATAATGGCGGTTGTAATTTTATTCGTGTCATGCGTCTGACTAACATTTGTTCCTGCAACCATATAATAATAATCTGGCTGCTGGTTCGCCTCGAAGATACAATCCACCGATTGTTGTATACTCAATTCGACATAGTCTGTTGTAAATAGCTTTGTTATACGACTTCCATCCATTGCGACTATGGTTAAGTTGTGCCTTGCAATCCCAAAGTAGAGTGTTTTACTCATTGCAGCGTTCACAACTCTGAGAAGATATGTCTTCCCAGTATCCACTACTATCCTAAAAGTTCCTGTACATTTTCATTAATAAAGGAAAATTAAAATAAGTGCAACAAACAACTCCAAAAAAAATAATAGGCAGAATCGTAAAATATTATAAGTTAGAAATCAAACAGGAGAGTCTAACCCAAAAGACTAGAAGAAAAGAGACGTTTCTCTTGCCTTGTATACTAGTAAAAACACAAACATGTAGATCTACAACAAACATGTACATCTACAAAAACTTTAGATGTCAATTGTCTCAACAGGAAGTAAGCACCAGCAACTTTTTCAACAAAATCTGATAACTGTCTCAAAATTTTCAATAAAATCCCTACTAAATTTGATGATAACGAGAAAAACAGGAAAAGGGAGGTTACAACGATCCAACAAACAGCAAAACCAAAGTTTTCATCCTTGTCAACATGAGGAAACCAAGAACTTTTCCACCAACATTCTTTCTCCTAGCCTCTTCATGGTCCATGATACCAGCTGAGGTAGTCAGTACAATGTACCCGAACTACAAGTTGAAACATCAAAACATAAAAATAGATAATATACAGAGTAAAACTGACTAACAACTAAGACTTGTACTACATCTGTGATCGCCGAAAATATCTGCAATTTCATTTGCTTGGTATCAAGTATCAACTACATATGATGCTTCAATCCACAAAGAAACACACTTCTCATGGACAGCAGAGACTCCATAGGATACAAAATTTCTCCTTTGGATAGACAGGAATGCTTCCTTTACAGGAGAGCCTCAACTGCAAAGAGCGCTTGCTCCTTTGGATGGATGGGTCTTGTAAGCATTACAGATGAGTACTCAAGATTTTTACTGCTTAAGAAGAAGCAATAATTTTCAAATATCATTTTTTCCCTTTTGAAACAAAACTACTTTTTTCAAATTTTACAATGAAACATTGGTTAAACACCCATATAGCAAGCCAATTCATGATTCGGCAAAGAAAAATTAATAATGTCTATTTCACAAGCTAATATGACCATGACTTGACATTCACCCCAACAATCATTTCTGCTCAATTTGGAGATAACCAGAAATGGAGTTCCATATATTGATCAAGGGAACGAAGTGAATATAGTAATTACTATACCTGTCGGGAAGGGAGCAATCTAGCAGTCCATCCTTCAATCTCCAACATCGAAGCGAGGACTAATGACACCACACTTGTTTAGCCTTCCATTCAGTTCGACAACAATCTTTCCGGACCTATGATCATCGACATACTCAAATTCTCCAATGTAACCTACAGATAGATACCAACAGTAAGAAAATGATAGGGTATGCTAGCAGTGCATACAGTTAAGATCAAACTAAATTGATGAAGAGAGATTGAAGGCGAAGATTCTGATTTCTAATACATTAAACAACTTTTACGTACCATTGTTCGAGCATTGGATTTGATTTGGAGTCTCGTCACGCTTCCCTTGTTCGTCAAAAGAGAGCAACAGAAAGATTAAACCAGCAGGCCACACAAGATATAGCATGCTGAAAGTCCAGTGAAGGTGTAAGATTTTAAGTGGCTCCGTGAAGTTGAGGACACAATTACCTGGTGAATGGGCAATGAAGGCACAAAAAAATCTTTGTTTCGTATTTCTTGAAATTTTACCACTATTACAAGAGAAAGTGTTTTCTCTATTCCTAAGCTCAAACTGAAAAAATTCTCTTATTTAGGATGCAAAAATCACATTCGTCTCGCCACACTTGTTAGCTAATTAAGTGAAGAGTTTGAATTGACATAATTGTCAATTCTCCTAAATAATATGTTTTCAATATCAGGCACATCAAGTATTGAATCACCCAAAATAAATTGAAATTGCAATTGCAAGAACTAATATAATAGCTTCTTATATATCAATACAATACAAGCAGTTGGTGCATCTCAGCAAAAACCAGCACCCCCAAACAAAAAATTATAATCCCAGTAATCATCATGAGCATTATGTTGACTTCCTTCATGGTAACATCTATATTGATGAGTTTGAACCAACGATTCATTGGGTTGAACTAGTTGATTATAGCCCACTCCATACAGGACTTGACGCATATGACAAGTGGTGTGTGGATTGCCATCCTGAAAATTACCATTTCCCATGGGTGGACTATATGGTTCACCCGCTGGTGTAAACGCCTGTCCTCCATATCGCACTACCTGCGATCCATTTCTTAATTCATTGAACATGGTCTCCGGCCAAAATCCAATAACAAACAAACCCTGAAACAAAAGATAATAGTCTGCAAAAATAAATAACACCAGAGTTACAACAACTACATATATACTTGCTGATATTAATATTCCAAAGTAATTTTAATTACCTTCATCCTTGTAGATCTGAATTAGCAATTCATAATCATCATACATTGGCCTAGAGATTTTTGGAAAAGCATAATCTATTGGTACAGTAGTGTCAAGTTGAACAAATCCTGGACAAATATTATTGTAACATCCTGTTTTCTGACCGCCATCTGTCTATTTAATTCAAATAAAAATGAAATTTACTTACTCTACATGCTTTTGAATTATTTCTTTTAGAAAAATATCAATTAATTTCTAATAAACTTACTGTCCAATGGGAGTATAACCGAGTCCGGTTATCACCGTATAGTTTTGGATGTACCTAAACCAAACAAACATCATGACTTTAGGAAATCAAATCGTCAAAAAATACTTATTAGGTTCAAATCATTGATTTGAAATAAAAACTTACAATCCATCCGGCTTGTATTTGCTCGAAATTTGTCGCATTATCTGCACTTTGATGAAATATTGTTGCGGAACTATATTGGCCAAGTCCATTTACTTGTGGATTATACAAAGTAACACGGGCTGTGGCACTTGTAAAACTTTTTATTTCTGGCGATGCGTTTATACTAATTCCTGCAAACTGAAGTATAGTGTTACATTAAATTAATTAGAATAACTATCTGAAATTGAATTTGTTGACTATTAATGATAAATTTTGATAATTAAAGAAGTAGTTACATCGATGATATCTTCAGCAAGGGATTCATTTGCCATGCTTAAGGAGGCATCTTTGGCATTTTGGAGTTGTTCTTGTGTCAATCGTCGAATAGGGACCGTTCCAGTCGGACAACCTTTTTTATTCAACCAAAACTCTTCTGATTTAAAATAAATATTTTCATCCTTTTGCAATCGTTTGGCTTTGACTGATCTTTGTTTTTCTAACTCCTTAGCAATTGTCATCTGTTGTTTCGAAAATCCCCATACGTGCAAAAAAAAAGAATGAACTTCAAAGAAAATACAAGTAAAATTATATTCAAGTAAACGTAAAATATTACTGAAAATAAATGCATGTGAGGGTATATTTTAATGACAAGGATAGAGTATAACATTTTTTTTCAAAAAGTTACACTACATATACTATATATTAAACATTAATTTTATACTTCATTATATATTAAATCTTCAACATCTTTAACAAGATTCATGAATTCACTAATTGATTGGATGTTTATATGAAATTGTCAAAGGCTAGTTTATTAAGAATCTGATTTTAATTATGAATTAACTATATCTTATAAAGAAATAGATTGGGGATAACTCAACCCTATAATAAGATAACTTGTGTGGATCTATAACTTGAACTCTTAACATAAATTAGTAACATTTTGGGAAGACATCTTATGGCAATTACTAGTATTAGATTTTTCTTTTTCAAATTGTTAAAAAATGTATACATTATTTATATCAAAATTCATAAATTCACAAGTTTCAAAACTTGATTCCACCTTTGATAAAAATACAAAACGTTGCAAACAACAGAATTGTGTTTTATCAGCTTTTGTTTGTCAAAAGAAAAGAAGAAAAAATCAGTTAAGTTGTATGAGTATAAATCTTGCACCTTGATTCTTTCTTTGTGCGGCATCGGGTGCAAAAGAGTTGGTTGTTTATAAACATCCACACAATCATAAATATCTCCATGAATAGTCTGCAAACATAAATTAATTTTAGTACAAACTATTCATTAAAAAAAGGGCATATAAATTTTGCTATAAAAGATATGAAAATTATACCTCAAGGACGAGATCTGCATTTCGACTAGATCCATAACCTTCAACCAAACAAAAGGCAATGGTGGTCCAAACTAAAATGATGAAGCATAGAGTTGTAAATATCAATGTCATCTTTGTTTTTCATTGTATTTCTAAAATAACTTTTATATATATAGTGCAAAAGAAATGGTTATTTAGGCAAACATGATATGCAATCTGATTATCTAAATCTAAGATTTAAATGATGAATAATATTCAAATATAATTAATAATATTAATTCCAAATTTAGTCATTGTACAAATATTCTCCAAATTAATTAGTATCCACTGAAAGTGGACAATAAAATTATAAATATTTAAATAATAATAACAAAAAAAATTATAGTTAGGATTCCAGGTTTAAAAGATTTGATTTAAATGCCTTTAATATTCTAATATAATGAATAATATTATTACCAATGAATAATATTATTACGAAATTTAGTCATTGCACAAATATTCTCTAAATTAACTAGTATCTTTGATAGTAGACAACAAAATTATTATACTATCAGTTTATTTTTAGAAATATTATATAGTATTTTCATATATTATTAATATTTAAAGAACAATAATAAAATGATATAATACTTTTTTTTTTTAAATAATAATAATATGTGAAAAATACTTCATAATATTTCTAAAAAATAAACAGATCGTGTAATTTTTGATATTTTGCTTTGTCCCGTTGGATTACTAGTTAGTTTCTCTTTTTTGGTACATTCCTTTGACACCCCAATTTTGGACCTCCACATTATAGATTAATCATCGAGCTTCTTCAATTTCAAACGATTTAAAATTATTAGTTTTATAAAAATTCAAAAATAAAATAAAATATAGTTTGCAAGTTATTTTAAATAGATTTGTTATTTATATTGTTTCTATATAATTAGTATATTTTATGAATATTCAAAAATCATCTCAAAAAGATTTTATTTTAATTAAAAATTCAATTAAATTAGTTTAATTTAATTTATATTTATAATTTTAATTTATTTAGTTTAATTATTTTATTTCGTCAATTTAAGTAGCTTGCTAATTAAATCATCGTGTTTAAATTCTAGCCGGATTCACTAAATTAACTCAATTCGACTATGTTTTGAATTCTATATTGCTTAATTCAATCTTCCGACCAAAATTGGGCCAATTCAGCTGACCCATCAGCCCAACACAAATCCAGCAGTCCATTGTATCAATTCCAGTAGCCCACTTCATAATATACAACCGACCCAACCCCAATTCCAATTTTCCTCAATTCACACATTGATTAAGCATTCCAAGTAATCTGTTCTGTGGTTAATGACAGGTTAAATTGAATTGATGCTTTCATTAATTAAGCAACAAGTTAGGCTGAAGTTGTTGCTCGAGTCGTTCAGTTTTTTGAAAGGAATATTGTTTAATTTGATACCTCAAGGTTAGTTTTGTAAAAAGATGAATTGATAACTACTAAATCTTCGCCAAACAGCTACAAAAAGGCTTTGAGAATGATGAAATGTGCTGATCATTGTGTCTCGTTACATTTGTTGACACTCCAGGGGATTTTGCTTATTTAAGATCTGAAGAGCTGTGAGTCTTTACCTTGAATTTCAAATATTGTGTTATTAGATTGCGTTTGGTCATGTAGAATCTATAATCACCTCCAATATTTTCATGACAATTTAAGGGCTTAAAGTTCCAATCATAACGGTTGTAACTAATGAAGGTGGTTCAGGCAGAGCTCTTGCCATCAAATGTGGTTAATGTTCAAAATTTTACGTTACTAGGTAAGTTTGGTTCATTTGTACTTCTTCCATATTTTTGCTTGCTACTTATCAGGCATGTGACAGTTTAAAAATAATTTATCAACCAAAAACATGTTGTTTTAGCTTACACATTGTACATATGTTGCGGCATGGATTTTGTAGTTATTGCTTTTACACTTGTTATATTGTTTCCTTGAATATCTCCATCTTTAATTTTCTGTATCTTTACAAAATATATGCTTCTTTGATCAGTCTTGTATCTTGTGCTTCTATATTATGGAAGTCTTCACAAGCAGCTCCAACCTCCAAAGGTATATATTGTTTGTTGTGAAAAAAATGGTTTCTGATTGAATAGGCAGCTAAGAGCTCAAGAACATTACAGACTTTGGATAGCAGATGCAATTATTCCAGTTAATAGTGTGAACGAAACAATGTTTACCTGGACTTTTAGAAGACGGAAAAAAGATGCAAAACATAAGATTGTCGCCCCTTTATCACTTATGTTGACAAAGTTTTTGATGAAGTAGAGAAGAATTTTCCTCATCCCTTATTTATTTTTTGTGCACTCACAAGTTTCTTGCTTCTTACATGTATAGAAGATCGGATTTATTCGTAAAAATGTATCTTTTGTAAGGTTGTCTACATTTGATTTACTTCTTGTATATGGGTGTGTTATTGCCTTTCTTTTACTGTTGAAATTTATTACTTTTTTTCCAAAAAAAAAAAAAAAGGAGTAGACACAACCTGTATTCTAAGTTAAGCTTTTTTTAAAAAAAAATCCCAGTAGCACTGGAGGTGTTGTATATCATAGCAAAAGTTTAAATACAACACATGGATAGAAACTATCCATCAAAAAGAGAAGCCTAACTAACAAAAAAAAAAATCCTTATCAACTTTAGACCTTATACTCGGGACTTGTCTCTTATCCAGAAAGAGAAGTCATTTTGCGGCCTGGGGAAGTTGTTGAGCCGAAAGATAAATGTTTCTAGTTTGAGAGTTCATCGCCATCTTTGTTAGCCAGTCTGCAAGTTGATTGGCTTCTCTGTAGCAATGCTCAAACTTGATACTAGCAAGATGTAGAATTGAAGAAGTAGCTTCTATGAGCAAGAGGGAATGGTCAGTAGGTTTGAAGGTAACCTTACTCTTTTTCTTTGGCATCTTTTTTGTTTTCTTCCTTGTAATTTTTTCCGTTTTTGTTCTCGACAACTTTAGATGTAAAGACTAGGACTTGTTTGCCTTTGTCGTTGGTATCATGGCCATTCTGTAAATCTCATCATTACTAAGCTCTGTGTTGTTCTGTTCCTGTAGATTAACAGCTTCCTCCATCGCTTCTTTGTTCTTCTTAGCCTCCTTTTCCTTGGCTATAATTTTTTTCCAGAATCCTACAGTTGAACTGATTGAGGCCTAGCAAAATTTAGGAATAGTTTCATATTCCAACTTTTGAATAAAATGGTGAATTGTCATCCTCTAAACCAACCCAGACACTTTCCGGGTGAGATTTAAGCAAGTCCTAGTTTTACTGTTAGTAGCAGCATCCATACCCTGACTATTTGTTTAACAAAGTGCCAAGAATGCATATGGTAAGGCAGTCCCGGGAGAAGAACCCACACCGGGCTTGAAATCCGGAGTCCATTTTTGGAGCCACATTTGCATTCAATGACTCTCTTAAACCAACCGCTAAGGAAAGGGCTGACTTAGAACAAAGTTTTCGTGTTGTTGATTCCTAGGTGTAGCGCTTCTTCCCCTATGCTGCCTATTAGGCTAGTAGAGTAGGATTGACCCGTAATACAGAACCTCTAGGCGTAACCTTTCGCTTAATACTAGAATCGAGAATTGAAACATAGCATCTGAGGTTGCATTAATCGAGGATACACGACAGAAGGTTTGACCTTCCGGCACTGGGCAGGCGTAAGCCCCATACATGGTCTTACGACTTTGCGGAGACCTATGTTTTTGGTAAACAGTCACTGTGACCCCCTTTGTGAGGAGGCACCCCTTCTCCCGAAGTTACGGGGCTATTTTGCCGAGTTCCTTAGAGAGAGTAGGTATTCTCTACCTACCCACCTGTGTCGGTTTCGGGTACAGGTACAGGTACCCTCTTGCTTAACATCGTTCGAGCTTTTCCTGTCATTTGTGAAATCTAGCTAGGAAGAAATTGAAGTTATCGTATACCCCTGCTCCCTTTGTTGCAATTACTTCTTTTAATTTTGATCTAATTCGATCTATTTGGGGCCGGGCCGGGGTTTAAGAAAACGACCGATAATTGTACACTTACACTCATCGGCCGTAATACCGTAGTAGTCTTTAGTTCTGTAATCGAGAAAATGAAATTAATTACTAAAATCATTTGTTTAAAGACAGAGAAGTAGAAAATATATATATGGATTTTCCTCTTTGCACGAGAAGTGAATTACAAAGTATATTACGATAAAATTTGTTCCAGGGTTTTGTTGCTCATGGTCAAATGAATTGATGGGCGTATTTGGTAGTTTTTTCAGCATATATATTCGTCGCAGTTGTTATTCATTTACCCATTAGTGCCACCTCTATTTATTTATCTATGGGTTAATATCGGTCATTAGGTAAATCGAGAAATGTGTATATGATTGCATATCTTATGTATCGCTGGACTAAGTTTACATATACACAACATACAAAATACATAGACGATGTTGACATGTTGGGGTACAATTTGTAATTTTTCAAATATAAGCATCAATATAAAACTTTATTATAAGTACTACAATTTACATGGGAGTGACCATTGCGCTTCTATGAGCCCTATTAGTCTGCCTATACCAAACAACGCATGTCGTACAAAAAAATAAACCCAAAATTACAAAAGTCATTATTACATATAAATAATCCCTACTAGAACTTTTATCGTAGTTGGGGGAGAAGTTGGGAAGAAGAGGTAGAAGAGGTGGTAAAGAGGGTATGTAACTCCCTTGGTATTCTATGATGGCGGTTGTAATTTTATTCGTGTCATACACCTCGCTAATATTCGTTACAGCAACCATATAATAATAATCTGGTTGCTGGTTCGCCTCGAAGATGCAATCAATCGAGTGTTGTATAGTCAATTCGATGTAGTCCGTTGTAAATGGCTCTGTTATAGGACTACCATCCATCGCAATTACGGTTAAGTTGTGCCTTGCAATCCCAAAGTAAAGTGTTTTACTCATTGCAGCGTTCACAACTCTGAGAAGATATTTCTTCCCAATATCCACTTCTATCCTGAAAGTTCCTGTCCATTTTAATTAATAAAGGAAAATTACAATGAGTGCAACAAACAACTCGAGAAAATATTAAGTAAAATCTTGTTGGCCTATATGGGCAGAATCACAATTTTTTTTTTATATTAATTAAGTTTGATATAAATAAACTGAACTAGACGACTTATACATACCATTATTTGAACAAGGATAGAAGTCTCCGGGCTGTCCATTAACAGTGAAAGCGTCCGAATTTATGTCACCGCCTGAGTCAACATATTCAAGGAAGATCTCCTTGACATCCTTCTTCCACCATTCACCTGTGAAGAATTAATCAAATAAAAAGAAAATATATGTTAGTAAAAGACTTTAAGATTTTGAAAGAAATGACTTAAACTAAATTATTCGAATATTGTTTAACTTATATACCTAAAATGATGGGAATATCGGCATGATCACGAGGCATCGAAAAGGGAAGAGCCTGATTAGTTCCGGGTTTTGGATGGACAATGAAAGCGCCATGAACAGTAGCGCGTTGCCAGATGTTCAGGGCATGCCACCATAGCGTCCCTTCCTCGTCGTCAGATATTGTGATATTTTTTCTTACTTTAGACCCTGCCTCAACTAGCCATTCCACCTGATCAAACTTCACGTGTCTACTACCCGTGCCCCTACAACTTCATTTTAGAAAGAAAAAAACAGTCACCAAAAGTAACAACTTAAACAAACAAACAAACAATGAAAAGTAGACAATTTGAATGTACCAAAACATTGTAACGTTGTCCTTCCCTTTGTTTTCAATGTCTAGGGACAACGTTTCGCCAGCACGCGCATATATGGTAGGCCCTGGGAATCGTCCGTTGATAGTAAGAATCTTCTTCGATTGGCAAAGCCTATCGAAAGAAGCTTCTTCAATCTGTGCATGCATACAATAATACAAGATAAAATTGATTAGTACACAACACAAACCATAACTTTAATATTGCAAAGAAAAAACAGACAATACTTACAACGAAATGAAAATTAGTATTGTTTTGTGTTGAAGCAGTGTACTGAACTGCGAAAAATATGATTAATATCAAGCTAGTGTTGATTTTTTGGAATGTCATTTTTCTTGTCTAAAGAGTTAGAGGAGTCGAAATTTTTGAGAAAAAGATGAAGAAGGGCCCTATCTTTTAAAGAATGTAATTATCTGGAGTCAATTTAGAATCTTTATACTAGATTAAAAGAAAGAAGAAGTTGTCTCACACATTTCACTAAGAAATGAAGAGGAGAAATATATATAGAGGAGAAAGGGGAATAGAGCTCTATCTATTCATATGCAGAAAAATTTAGTTCTTCTCAATTTGGATAGAAGTCAAATAAACGGGTTAACTAGATTGAATTTGAGCAAGTTATTAAAAATTAGACGCAAAGGTCATAAACATAAAATCATTTTGAGCTGCATATAATACTTATAAGTTATAAACTTACAGCTTACATTTTTCTATATATGGTTTTAAAAGTTTTTTTTAAAAAAAAATCGTGCTGTGTTCATATCTATCTTTGTTTTTTCTGTTTCATTGATCAAATATAAAAAAATTATAGAAACAGAAAAATTCTCTTATTTAGAAAATTTACTAGTTTTGCATAGAAGATTGGTAATGTATGAATAATATGTCAGCTACATAACTAGATAAAATTAATTGAGAGCAATAACTACAAAACATAAATGATAGTGGATAACTGAAATATAACTAATTTTAGATATTTATCACATTATGTAAGACCATTAAAGTATAGCTCTGAAGGGAAAAGAAAGAGACAAGATAAAAATTAAATTCAATAAAATTTCCCCTCATATGAAAACAAACAATTATACTTTATTGCTATCACTATCATATTGATCACACCCATAAGTAGGAAAAAGCAAAAATTAAAAAATAAGAACTAAATAAGTAATACTATAAAATTAAAAGTTAAGACATTCAAAAATATACAAAAAGTAGTATAAATTATAAATTGTCGTGTCAATATGAGCTATTGCTAATATAAGTAGCCTACGTTACATAGTAATTTCAAGATAGCAAAATTAATTGCCCATAAACAAACTGATTTTTCTTTTAAAAAAATTTCCCTTCTAGTTTAAACAACTGAGCTATAAGACCTAATAACTAAATACATCTAAGAAAATTTTCTTCACTATGTAAATTTTATGATGTGAACTTTAGGCAAATAGTTACTCGGATTCATTGTTTACGCAAATAGTATACTTGAACATAATATGGGATTATAAACACAAACTCACTATCAAACCTTCTTGGTTCATTTTACTAGAAATTTAACATGTATGCTTGCACTCTAGCAGCTAACAAGACTAGAAGAAAAGAGAGGTTTCTCTTGCCTTTTATACAGTAAAAAAACACAAACATGCACATCTACAACTTTAGATGTCAATTGTCTCAACAGGCAATAAGCACCAGCAAGTTTTTCAACAAAATCTGATAATTGTCTCAAAATTTTCAATAAAATCCCTACTAAATTTGATGGTAACGAGAAAAACAGAAAAAGGTCGGTTACAACGAGCCAACAAACAGCAAAACCAAAGTTTTCATCCTTGTCAACATGACTCAATAGAAGAAACCAAGAACTTTTCCACCAACATTCTTTCTCCTAGCCTCTTCATGGTCCATGATACCAGCTGAGGTAGTCAGCACAATGTACCCGAACTGCAAGTTGAAAACCAATATGCAAAGATCAAAACATAAAATAGACTATACAAAATAAAACTGACAAACAAGTACGACTTTTACTCCATATGTGATCGCAGAAAATGTCTGCAATTTCATTTTCTTAGTATCAAGTATGAACTACATATGATGCTTCAATCCACAATATGACTGTTCAGATATTTCTTCAAAGAAACACACTTCACATGGACTAATACAAAAATAACAGCAGATCGAGACTCTGTTATGTCTTGTGTTGTATGTGTCGTGATGCATTCCTCCTCATGCAGCATATCATTATTTCATGGAAATATGAGAAAGTGGAGAAGTACTGTCTTTTTAAGAAAAATAGTTTGACACCTTACTTATATTATTGACCATGCTGAGGTGGCAAGTTGCTTTTCTAACAATGCAACTCGAGGAATATTAATCTTATGTTATGCATGAAGTGAGTAGAGCTTCATGGAGATCGTGTTGGCTATGATGATCCAACCATGGTGACTTACATTGGGCGCATTGAAGGTAGAATTTATCTTTTCATTGGTCATCAGAAAGGTAGAAACACAAACGAAAAACATCATGTAAAACTTTGCAATGCCAACCCCTCATGGTCATGCTTCAACTATTATCATTCATAGCAATATTACTAATTACTATCATTAAGCATTCCAAGTAATCTGTTCTGTGGTTAATAACAAGTTAAATTGAATTGATGTTTTCATTAATTCAAAGTGAAATTAGATTAGCAACAAGTTAGGCTGAAGTTGTTGCTCATAAGCCTCTGAACATGTTCACAGTTATCAGATTTTTGGAGAGTCTATGCAGCGTTCAGGTTTTTGAAAGGAATATTGTTTAATTTGATACCTCAAGGTTAGTTTTGTAAAAAGATGAATTGATAACTACTAAATTTTCGCCGTGCAGCTACAGAAAGGCTTTGAGAATGATGAAATGTGCTGATCATTGTGTCTTGTTACATTTGTTGACACTCCAGGGGCTTTTGCTTATTTAAGATCTGAAGAGCTGTGAGTCTTTACCTTGAATTTCAAATATTGTGTTATTAAATTGCGTTTAGTCATGTAGAATCTATAATCACCTCCAATATTTTCATGACAATTTAAGGGCATGTTTGGGCTGAAAGTTCCAATCATAACAGTTGTAACTAATGAAGGAGGTTCAGGCAGAACTCTTGCCATCGGATGTGATTAATGTTCAACATTTTATGTTACTAGGTAAGTTTGGTTCATTTGTACTTCTTCCATATTTTTGCTACTTAATTATCAGGCATGTGACAATTTGAAGAATAAGAAAAGTTCAAGTCTAAAAATAATTTATCAACCAAAAACATGTCATTTTAGCTTAAAAACGTGGACACATTGTACATATGATGTTGAGGCATGGATTTTGTAGTTATTGCTTTTACACTTGTTGCATTGTTTCCTTGAATATCTCCATCTTTTTTGTATCTTTAAAAAATCTATGCTTCTTTGATCAGTCTTGTAGCCTGTGCTTCTATATTATGGAAGTCTTCACAAGCAGCTCCAACCTCCAAAGGTATTGTTGTGAATAAAATGGTTTCTGACTGAATAGGCAGCTAAGAGCTCAAGAACATTACAGACTTTGGATAGCAGAGGCAATTATTCCAGTTAATAGTGTGAACGAAACAATGTTTAGCTGGACTTTTAGAAGACGGAAAAAAGATGCAAAACATAAGATTGTCGCCCCTTTATCACTTATGTTGACAAAGTTTTTGATGAAGTAGAGAAGAATTTTCCTCATCCCTTATTTATTTTTTGTGCACTCACAAGTTTCTTGCTTCTTACATGTATAGAAGATCGGATTTATTCATAAAAATGTATCTTTTGTAAGGTTGTCTACATTTGATATACTTCTTGTATATGGGTGTGTTATTGCCTTTCCTTTTACTGTTGAAATTTATTACTTTTTTCCAAAAAAAAATAAAGAGTAGACACAACCTGTATTCTAAGTTAAGCCTTTAAAATAAAAAAATAATAACCAGTAGCACTGGAGGTGTTGTATATCATAACAAAAGTTTAAATACAACACATGGATAGAAACTATCCATCAAAAAAATTGGCTAACAACACAAAAGTCAGCTTATTGCCCATCAATACTGCAGCAAAAAGAGAAGCCTAACTAACAAAAAAAAAAATTCCTTATCAACTTTAGACCTTATACTCGGGACTTGTCTCTTATCCAGAATGAAAAGTCATTTTGCGGCCTGGGGAAGTTGTTGAGCTGAAAGATAAATGTTGCTAGTTTGAGAGTTCATCGCCTTCTTTGCCAGAAAGAGAAGTCATTTTGCGGCCTGGGGAAGTTGTTGAGCCGAAAGATAAATGTTTCTAGTTTGAGAGTTCATCGCCATCTTTGTTAGCCAGTCTGCAAGTTGATTGGCTTCTCTGTAGCAATGCTCAAACTTGATACTCGCAAGATCTAGAATTGAAGAAGTAGCTTCTATGATTCTCTTCAACCTGAGCTACTAGCCTTATTTTTCTTAAGCATGTTGATTATCAAAAGTGAATCCAGTTCCATGATGATGTTTGTGTAACCATTTTGTTTACACCATTTGCTTCCAAACCATGCTGCCTTAGCTTCTGCTATGTTATGACTAGAGCACTGCACAGCGATAGAAAATGTCATAATAAGCTCCCCACGTTCATATCTCAGTGCACCTCCTAGTCCTGCTCTGCCATCATTCGTGTTGAAGCTTCCATCAGTGTTTAATTTCAGGTACCCCGAATCAGGCTTCTGCCAGCACACCAGGTTGATTCTAAGAGTGGGTTGCAAATTGATAATATTCTGACAAAGATCACTCCAAGGTAGAGCTAATTTGCATCCTGAGAAAGTTCTAGAAATTGTTGCTTGAACTGTCCATCCCACCAACTGCTCCATTTTGTAGCAATTAAACCTTTTCTGCTTGCCATATCTACAAGAACAAGTTTCCTTCCAAAGAGCCCAACATATAATGATGCGGGTTATATGGAAAACAAGTTTATGTACATTGTTACTAGTTTTTTGGAGCCACCAGGAATTCATAACATGTCAAATTGAAAGTTGAGAATGATTAATACCAAGAGGTCCTCCAATGAAAGTGTTCTATGGTCTATGGTCCGAGCATGTTCTTGCTAAGTGTCTAACAGTACAGTTATGAAAGTGTAGATCCCAAAGATCATTGATAAAAACTCGGTCAAGTCTTTTCCAAATTCTCTTTTTGGGACTTCTGTTAAGTAGATCCTGAATATCCAATATCTGTCAAACCACAATCATCCATACAAATCTGGAGCTCCAAACTTTTACTCATCATGTGAGATTTGCCTCCTAACTTCTCGTTTGGGTCCAAAATAACATTGAAATCCGCTCTGATACATCAAGGACCATTAACTCGCTGATAATCCTTTTCTAAGCTTTCCCAGAGATTCTTTCTTTCAGTTACAGTTCACTTAGCATAAATAGCTGACATAAAAATATTTTGGTTTCCTATAGCCTTTTTCATGTTAAGAGAAATATATTGTTCACCTTCCCAGAGTAGTTCAACTTGATTGTTGTTCCTCCAGAAACACCAAAAGAAACTTTCTGTAACCCTCTATCTTTTGTTTATCAATAAAAGGTTCAAAGATGGCTACAAACTGAATGTTGTTAATTGGACAAGATTTTTTAGCCTGTGAATGGCCCTTTTTGATCTTACTCCCCTTATATTCCAGAATAGAGCACTAATCATCAGAATCAGAATGACAAGGTGATTTGTCCTGAGCCTGTCGTCCCTCGTGTCTCAGCTCTTGTTGTCCCCTGTCAGATTGGAGATTTTCTTCTCGTCTCTTGGGGTTTTTCAATGTTCTGCACAGTATCTGGGCAAGAGGGAATGGTCAGTAACCTTACTCTTTTTTGTTTTCTTCCTTGTAATTTTTTCCGTTTTTGTTCTCGACAACTTTAGATGTAAAGACTAGGACTTGTTTGTCTTTGTCTTTGGTATCATGGCCATTCTGTAAATCTCATCATTACTAAGCTCTGTGTTGTTTTGTTCCTGTAGATTAACAGCTTCCTCCATCGCTTGTTCAACACTATTAAATTAACAACTTCCTTCATCGCTTCTTTGTTCTTCTTAGCCTCCTTTTCCTTGGCTATAATTTTTTCCAGAATCCTACAGTTGAACTGATTGAGGCCTAGCAAAATTTAGGAATAGTTTCATATCTAACTTTTGAATAACATGGTGAATTGTCATCTTCTAAACCAACCCAGACACTTTCCGGGGGAGATTTAAGCAAGTCCAATTCCACTCTCACCGGCCTAGTTTTTCTGTTAGTAGCAGATTCCATATATAGAGCTGACTATTTGTCTAACAATGTACCATATGGTAACGCAGTCCCGGGAGAAGAACCCACACCGGTGAAATAGGAATATCTTCCTCCAGCTTGAAATCCGGAGTTCATTTTTGGAGCCACATTTGCATTCCATCAAGTTCAAAAACTCTTTTAAACCAAACCACTTTGAAATCGTCATCATTTGTGAAATCTAGAAAGTATATTAGGATCAAATTTGTAGTTGTTGTTCCAGAGTTTGGTTGCTCATGGTCAAATGAATTGATGGTAGATTTTTCAGCATATATATTTGTCGCAGTTGTTATTCATTTACCCATTAGTGCCACCTCTATTTATTGATCTATGGGTTATCGGTCATTAGGTAAATTGATTCACTATACGAGAAATGTGTATATGTCGATTGAGTGTATGTGATTGCATGTCTTATGTATAGCTGGACATAAGTTTACATATACACAACATACAAAATACATAGACGATGTTGACATGTTGTTGGAGGTACAATTTGTAATTTTTCAAATATAAGCATCAATATAAAACTTTATTATAAGTACTACAATTTACATGGGAGTGACCATTGCGCTTCTATGAGCCCTATTAGTCTGCCTATACCAAACAACGAATGTCGTACAAAAAAATAAACCCAAAATCACAAAAGTCATTATTACATATAAATAACTCCTACTAGAACTTTTATCATAGTTGGAGGAGAAGTTGGGAAGAAGAGGTGGTGAAGAAGGTATATAATTCCCTTGGTATTCTATAATAGCGGTTGTAATTTTATTCGTGTCATATGTCTCGCTAATATTATTCACAACAACCATATAATAATAATCTGGATGTTGGTTTGCCTCGAAGATGCAATCAATCGAGTGTTGTCTAGTCAATTCGACGTAGTTTGTTGTAAATGGCTCTATTATAGGACTTCCATCCCTCGCGATTACGGTTAAGTTGTGTGAGGCGATCCCAAAGTAAAGTTTTTTATGGATTGCAGCGTTCACAATTTTGAGAAGATATTTCTTCCCAGTATCCACTACTATCCTAAAAGTTCCTGTCCATTTTAATTAATAAAAGAACATTAAAATGAGTGCAACAAATAACTCTGAGAAAATAATAAGTAAAATCTTGCAGGCCCATGTGGACAGAATCGCAAAAAAAAAAATGTTAGAAATCAAACAGAAGAGTCCAACCCAAAAAAAGTAGTTTGATAGATAGAAGAACTGTTTTATAGTCGATGAGGAATAATTGACACGTAACACATGAGTTTGTTTTCAAATTATACAAGGCTACAACCAAGTTTGACATAAACTGATCCAAGTGAAATTCGTTGACAAATTAAAAGAATTTTTCTTTTTAAAATTTCAATACAATTACGACATAATAACAGCTAATGCATCTTTCTTTTATCAAATTTTAAAGCCCCTCCCACCATTACTTGGAAAAAAGCCATGTCTTTTCCTTGACTATTATTAATGTCTAATTAAAGAGATCGGATACGAAGATTTTAATTTTTATTAGATTAATTAAGTTTGATATAAATAAATTGAACAGGATGACTTATACATACCATTGTTTGAACAAGGGTAGAAGTCACCAGGCTGTCCATTAACTGTGAAAGCGTCCGATTTTGTGTCACTACCTGAGTCAATATAGTCAAGGAAGACCTCCTTGACATCCTTCTTCCACCATTCACCTGGTGAAATTGTGAAGAATTAATCAAACAAAAAGAAAATATATGTTAGTAAACGACTTAAGATTTTGAAAGAAATTACTTAAAACTAAATGATTCGAATATTATTTAACTTATATACCTAAAATGATGGGAATATCGGCATGATCATCAGGCTTTCCGGGTTTTGGATGGACAATGAAAGCGCCATGAACAGTGGCGCGTTGCCAGATGTTCATGGCATGCCACCATAGCGTCCCTTCCTCGTCGTCAGGTATTGTGATATTTCTTCTTACTGTAGACCCTGCCTCAACTAGCCATTCCACTTGATCAAACTTCACGTGTCTACCCATGCGCCTACAACTTAATTTTAGAAAGAAAAAAACAGAGTCACCAAAAGTAACAAAATCAATGAAAAGTAGAATTTCTTGATAATTTGAATGTGTACCAAAACATTGTAACGTTGTCCTTCCCTCTGTTTTCAACGTCTAGGGCCAACGTTTCTCCAGCCCGCGCATATATGGTAGGCCCTGGGAATAGTCCGTTGACAGTAAGAATCTTCTTCGATTGGCAAAGCCTATCGAAAGAAGTTTCTTCAATCTATTGATAGTACAAGATAAAATTGATTAGTACATACACAACACAAACCATAACTTTAATAATGCAAAAAAAAAACTAAATGAACAGACAATACTTACAACGAAATGAATATTATTATTGTTTTGTGTTGAAGCAGAGTACTGAACTGCGAAAAATATGATCAATACCAAGCTAGTGTTGATTTTTTGGAATCTCATTTTTCTTGTCTAAAGAGTTAGAGAAGTCGA